ACAACAACAACAAAAAACAAAAAAAAAAATTGTTTCCCCAAAATCCAACAATTGAAGTGCTAATTGCGCAAGCCGATCTGAGGATTTGTTAACCTTCCTATTATCTATGATTTCTATATTAATTGAAAAATGTTTTACAAAAATTTACTCGCAAGCGTTTTCAACAACCTGCTATCGGTCACAACAATAAATTTTAAGTGCCTTAATAATATTTATCTAATAAATTGATTTGCACATTCATAGAACATATCATTAGTGCACTAATTAATTTATTAAACACTAGTTTTATAGTGTCTTCATTTTATAACACTCCTTTTCCAAAGAAACAAAAGAAATGCGTTGCTTCAAACAAACTACATTACTATATTAACTAAGATAACAATGTAAAATAATCATAGAAATTAATAGCACATGAAATAAACAATGGCTTTCTAATCATTGTACATAAATGTTGAATGATACTCGATTGATATGACATTGTGATTAATTGCTTCACCGTAATTGCTTATTAGAAGTTGTTACAGAATGAATGAAATGAATACTCTTTTCTACTGAAATATAATTTATTTTAATTTTTTGCATTTACATAGGGGGTGTGGGGTTGTCGCAAGCGTGGCGTAATTATTATGGGGGGTTCAATCGCGCGTTACGAATACATTAAAGGGCGAGAGGGGATATTCAAAATACTCCAAATTTGTGTTACGTAATTTAAGGACGGCCCCTCATTCTGTATTGATGTAATTTTTTTTGTCCCATTTTCATCTCAGCTACCATCTGTTGGCGCTTACAGATCATTCCATCAATTTTCAGGTCCTTAATAGTACAATTGAAATATGACTTTAAGAATACTATAGAAGAGTAAAAGCGATCCTGTATTCAAAGTTTCATGGAAAAAATTCGAGTTGTTTTTGAGAAGATATCATTTGAAAATTTCTGAAATGCACATTTAGAAGTTAATTTCGGCTAAAATATTTGAATTTTCATGTCATCTTATACAGTGCATTTAGCACTATTACTACAAAAAATTTCAGGGAGAAAGTGGAGCAGTTTTTCAGAAAAAAGGTGTTCCAAAAACGGCTTCACATGTTTTTCTAAAAACGTTTTGTATGGATAGTGCTACTGTAACATGTTTTAAATTTTGCTGCATTCTTTTGTTGTTGTTTTTTCAATTATCAAACAAATGTATTTTATTTTAATTAACCCATGTCTTTAATATTTACATTACCGGCGATTTGTGTACATTATTCCATTTTGTCAGTAGAAGTTCTTCAAATGATTTCTAATGAAGATCCTCAAATACTCATAAGCTTTCTGGGAAGCTTTCAAAGTCTCGTATTTAGAAATGCTCATACATTTTCTCGAAAACGGCTCTAAAAGTTTCAACGAAAATTTGCATTTATGACCAGTTTTATTCTTCTGCAATATTCTTAAAGTCTTAAGTTCAGGTACTTTGGCATTAGGGAATCGGGAAATTGAGGATCACCAATGTCCTTTTGTCAAAAATAGTTGCGTGAGGTGACGTAGTTGTCGTCATTCTGATTTGTATCTTTTTTAACGTTCACAATATCCTATAATTTACGGAAAGGTTGGACGTTTTGCAGCTACGTCGTAACTCAGTTTTATTAGTACCACTTTATTAATTTCCATTTCAAAGTTCAATCCATTCCTACAATTTTGTAATTATACACCAATGTTTTTTTGCTACAGAAATTCACTGACTGGAACGTAGGACTGAAAAAAGTTCGTGGTTGAGATGAACGCTACTTTTTTACGGTATAATTTATACCATTTATACATTACAAAGGATGTTAACCACTCTAATGTTATCTTTTTCCCACTTTGGATAAATGCGCATTGCTTTCTCGAAACGGCGCCTTGCTCAAGTCATAGAAGGGTCACCAACATGTGAAAAATGATTCAAGAACTAATATATTTTAAAATGTTTATTACAATTAATGAAGAACATTACGACTACGCAAAAAATGTTTTTTAGAATTTTAGTGTAACAATTAATAGAAAGTATGTCGACATTGAAAAGTAAATTAAATTTAGACAACATTACAATGTTGGGACTCATGATGCAGATTGTGATAAACATGACAATTGCTGACGTAATACGTCTAGGAGACGACGAGAATATGGCGCCCTAATCTGTGAACTAAGGATACAGTTTGGTGAATCTGTTTGAGATTTGCTGTGTAATTGTAAATTTGGTGTAGAACGTGTTTTGTGGAATTTGTGGAATAACATTAATATTAAAATGAGTGTTGACGCCTATGGACCCAGTTCGCAAACGCTAACATTCCTCGATACCGAGGAAGCAGAACTAATCGGTGCGGATACACAAGGTTCTGAATTCGACTTCACAGATTTTACTTTACCATCCCAAAGTCAAACCCAAGCATCACAGCTGGATGCCGGTCAAAGTCAGGCTGCTCCAAATCAGGTAATACTCATCAGCCTGTTGTGCGTTGCATTGTATAGTTGTATTTCTGTGACATAACCTAGCTTTAACTGAATCTTACATTGGTGGGGTACGTACAAGATGATTCGTCTTTCTTTAATATATGTCTGTGTACTTGCAATGTTTGCCGAAATAGTGTTGGGGAACTAATTGTACTATAAGGCATCATGTTTTGTTTTCATTTCAAGAGGTGTTGGTGAATGAATTGGCTTATATATGGCCATGCTGAATACCAATATTGTGTTGAGGATACATTGTTCCATCGACACATGTTTTGTTGACATTGATTTTACTGTGTAGGTTAATGGTGAAGTAGTTGAAAACGGCTTGGACACTGACATTTCTGTCACTACAAAGGCTTTGGGTGAATTGCAATTTGAGGAGGAGGAAGATGAAGCATATTATAATAAAGTATGTAAATTTCAGCATTAAAAATGGAGTTTCATAATATATTCTCATATTCATTAAAATTTTTAAAATGATTGATATTCCAGGACTTACCTGAATTTGCATGCAAGTATTGCGGCATTCATGATCCGAGCTGTGTTGTAATGTGCAATATCTGTAAAAAATGGTTCTGTAATGGCCGTGGTAACACTTCGGGATCACATATTATAAACCATTTAGTTCGAGCTAAACATAAGGTTAGTGTTACTTCACAATTGAGTTTATATGATCCAAAAGGTTATTTACTTTGTTTTAATACAGATTATTGTCTTGTTTAGGAAGTTACATTGCATAAAGATGGACCCCTTGGTGAAACTGTTTTAGAATGCTATTCTTGTGGTGTGAGAAATGTTTTTGTTCTGGGATTTATTCCTGCAAAAGCAGATTCCGTTGTTGTGCTGCTTTGTCGCCAGCCATGTGCTGCACAAAATTCACTTAAAGATATGAATTGGTGTGTATACGGTACAGAATGACTCATAATTATAATTTGAAGTATTGTGGAATACGTTTAATAACTGAAGAATATTTTTTAATAGGGATCAAGAACAATGGAAACCATTAATTGCTGATCGCTGTTTTTTAACTTGGCTTGTGAAGATTCCGTTAGAGCAAGAACAGTTGCGTGCTCGGCAAATTTCTGCCCAACAAATAAACAAACTTGAGGAATTGTGGAAAGATAATGTAGATGCTACATTTCAAGATCTTGAAAAGCCAGGAGTTGATGAAGAACCTCAACAGGTGTTACTTAGGTTAGTAATTGTGACTATATTAGTACTAAACATTTTGTTTATTTATAGATATTGATTTGTGAGAACTATTTTGGCATGATAGGTATGAAGATGGCTATCAGTATCAGAATATATTTGGTCCTTTGGTGAAACTCGAGGCAGACTATGATAAAAAGTTAAAAGAGTCTCAAACCCAAGAAAATATAGAAGTTCGTTGGGATGTTGGTTTGAATAAGAAAACAATTGCGTACTTCACCTTGGCAAAAACCGATGGAGGTAGGTTGTGATTTTTATTATTTTTGTCAGAAACTACAGAAATGTGTTTAATTTTAACTTTGTTTCCTTTATAATAAGGTAAGAACAAAGTTGCTCATCTTTATACACTCTTAGGAATAAGTTAGTGTTGTATTAGATTAGTGCTGATGTCGAATTAAAATATCTTTCATGTTTTCAATTTTTATTCATTAAGTTATGTTTCTTCTTGTTGCATATTGTGGTGAATTGAGAGTAATATCATTTTTTAAATTACGGGATGTGGAGAACTACATGAAATCAAATGTTACACAAAAAAATGAAATTAAATATTCTCAATATTGAAATAAAAGACAGCCTTTTAAACATTTCCAATGTAGGAAAGGAGTTTGTGTATAGCAAATCTAGAAAAGTACATTGAGAATATATTTGGTTTATAAGTTATTAGTAAATATTCTTCAAATATAACATTTTTGAAAGTTGTATGATATGTTAAAAAGTATTAATTAATTGCATGAAATGTTAATAGTGCATATTTTTACACATGTATAATTTTCTATGCAAAATTTAAGAGATAAATTAGGCGTGACACCCTGGTTGCTTGGTGCACCACATATACTGATTTCAAAACCAATACACTTTCGTTAATTTAAATATGTATTCGCCATTCAAAATATGTGAAATGTGAATGTAAAGAATTCATAGTTTTAGTGCATTAAGTCAACAGATTGTATGAAATTTGTTTTTTCGTTGTATTATGCAAGCTAAAACTGCTTTCATAGTTCACACAGTCAGTGAATTGCTGTAAATGTTTTTTGTGCTACCTTAACACATTATTTGGTAATATAAAATATGCCAACAAATAACTACGAATAACTATTAAATACTTCTTAATGCTAAGATGATGAGTAGTTTTTTTTTTTTTATTAAATGCTCCAGTTTTGCCATGAGTAATAGGCAATATTTTCATTTTCTGTTCTTGTTGAAATGGCTCTAGTTCAGAACCATCTTACACTAGTAAATTAGCCAAGTGAGTTAGTGCGTTACATATAAATGGAAATTGGGTGGAAAAGTGAAGACCAATCAAAATTTCATTGCATAGAGATGATCTGACATAATGAAATGCTATTTGGTATAGAAACCAAAGCTAAATCTTTGTTATCATTTATCAAACATTTATTTAAATTTATTGATAGAAATCCAGGAAATTATACTCACATTATTGTTCATATATAAAATGATTTTCATTTATTTAATACAAAAAGAGTAATTTTTTAAAATGCTTCTTTTAGACAATCATTGATATGACAATGTGTGTATTTCAAACAGTAAAAATTGGTTACGTTTAGTCTCTACAAACAATGAATGTGATTAGCATATGATTTTCTTGGACTTTTCACGTTCATAAAGGTCACACTGTCCAAATATTGAGAGCAAATTTCGCTCTCATCATCTTAAGCTTCTTGTACTTCTTCAATTTGCAAGTAATGTGTTACATGTTCAATATCAACTCTTGTGGCTGGCTTGTTGCATAGCAAAATAGGAAGTAGTCGAAGTACCTAAATAAGGATAGTTGCATTGTTTTCTTCTCGTTCTTTTCAGCATTTTCATTTAAGTTCTTCCTGAGTGCTAATATTGTAGTACTAATCAGATTTCAAAACCACAAGTCTGTTTTGAGTAATTTATTTTACATGAGTTCATAAAATAATGTTCAAAGACCTTTACTCCCTTGTCCTCTTCACAAGTTCTAGACTTTTGTTCATGTCCTGATATGAGAATGTAGATTTTTGAGATTTTAACAGTTGATGGGCTTTTGACTAAGGACTTTGAACATGTATCAAAGTGATTTTTCATGGAAATGAGATAATTGATTATTGATATGTTATTTGGTACTTGCAATGAAACTGTAATATGAAAATATGCAATACAATGGATTATAAGTTTCATGTGTTATTATTCCAAGCATTTTGCTCGTTTCTGATTTTGTACTAAAGAACACACATTAAGCTGCAGTTTGTGGGTATGGAATTACATAGTGGTTACTGCAATTAGTTGCAGTGTAAGTATGTGTATTCTGTATATATGAGTAGGGTTGGTTTCATGAGTAGAGGGTTATATAAATAATAATAATTTGAAAAAGTGAATTATTAAGGAAATATGTTGTCATTCTCTAAAGGAATTTAATTATCATGAGAAAATACAATAACATCTTGTTTTCCATTCTTTTTCAAACAGTATTGGTTTTATTAAAACATTGAAGATATTATATACTACATGTCTTGGTATTTACATGGAATTTTCTCCATAAACAGGATGTTATTCTTAATGTTTTATTACCATAACTATATAAACCCCTGACTTATTGTCATCAGGGTTAAAAAGAAAATGCAAATTCATTTACTTATTGGAATTGCGCAATCTATGCAAATATTAATATGAAAGAAACTATGATTTACATCAGCGTTCAGGGGCAGAGTAACCATAGGCCAACTAAACAGTGCTGTTTCTATGTAATGAAACAATAAGGAAGGCATAAAATAGGTAGTTGACCAGTAAATCACAATTGAACTGGCTTTGCACCCCTGTGAATAATATTTTTTGTCATAATTGTGTTAAGTACGATTTGAGGTCTGAAAGTTGCCAGAGGTTGTTGCTTTACAAGATGAAATTGCAATTTCTGGGAAGATATAGCTATACATTGGTACAATTACATTTTAGAATGGTTAATTCTCTGCTTTCTTCAATCAATTAAAAAATATTGAAGTAGATTAATTACTACTAAATAAAAATTCATTATGGGAGTGGTCATCATGTAAGTGGTCAGTTTTCATCATTTGAAAATGACATGTGAATGTGCATCATTCTCTTTTGCAAGGGTTAATGTCAATGTGCACTTTGGCTAGCACAAACTTTGGTGTTTTAAAACTATATTCTTCTCTACTATTCCTCACCTTCATTCTAATATTTTCACTTTCTGTATATAATTTCCTTTGATTTTTCTAATATTTAAAATGTGTCAATTTTATTGTCAAATTGCATTTTTCAAATTGCCTTAAGATATATATTTTTTCACAACACCTCGAGTCGTGGTCTTTTACTGAACTTCAGACATCTGCAATTATTATAATATTTTATGACATTAGCACATTAAATTTTTTTTTAAAATTATGATTGTAATATCAAATTTCATTATCTAATCACTATATAAATCTTAATAATAAAGTCATATTGCTCTTACACAACTTTACATATTTTATTATATATTATTGTGCATACATATAAACAATTAGAAGCTAATATTTCTCTTTGTGATGTATTTTTTTTTTTATTACATCCTTTATGGAACTTAATCAATTTATCTGCCTATCTTATACTTCATGAAGTCTCATGGTTGTCACTCTGTTTACGTTCCACCTTCTCCTGCCTCCAACCCCAGAACGTGCCATGACTGTCTGGGGTTGTGGGGTCTGTGGTTGTAAGCTCAAAAGGGCACATATATCATCATTCTCTTGAGTTGAAGGGGGAATGTTGGGAGGGGTGGTGTTACTCTTTGTTCCTACTGGATTTTTTAATGCTAGTATAGCATTGTCATATATATTAGTCATTACCATGTACCATGGTATTCTTTGTGTTTCTTAGTTTCATGTTAATACTTTTCATACTTTTATGTTAGTAATTAATCTTGGTTTGAATGTCTGTTCTATATCTATGATTTTAGTTCTCAAAATCCATTCTATGATCTTTGTCAATATGATGTTTAGTCAAAGAATTTTGTTTTTCAGGTATCTCACAGATGTTATTCTTGTGTTCTTTTATTGTCTTTTCTATTTGTCTTTTGGTTTGACCTACATATTTAGTTCAACAATCCATACAACTTATTTCACGGACCACATTCCTTTGTTTATTTTTATCAATTCAGAAAAGAAAAGATGAGCTCCCTTGAAAGGTGGGCTCTCCAGAGTTCTTTCCAGAGAGGTGCATCACTTTGGAGCACTGTGGCGAATGTGAAGTTGAATAATGATTGAGGGGTGGAGGAATTTGTCAAGTAAAATATGTCTTAAGGATTCTCCTAGAACTGTATCTCTTTATTCTGCACCATTATAAAGCAACCAGCGAGAAGATGAAAAAGAAAGAGAGAAAAGAGGGAGGGGGCTGTAGTTGTATGTAGAGAGAGAAGAGAACCTAGGCGGGAGCTTCTTACTGACGGCAGTCTCTTACCATTGATCAGATATTCTTCCTTCAGCGGCTGGGTTCCAGGTTAGTAATGTCATTCTTGAGGGGTGGCTGCTTCTTTGTACTTCGGTGTGAACTCATCAGTACTGTTTGCTCTGAGAGCTCTGCTGGTCTTCTACATAAACCACCTTTATTTGCATTCAACAGTGGTTTTAGAGGTTGCTGCTGAATGTTTGCATTTGCAATACATTACTTGCCTTGGGAGTTATCTGTACTCAAGGTGATGTTATAATGGTGACTCATCGTATGGCTCCCGTACTTTGCAGTAAAACATAGCCACTTGGTTTATTTTTCAGTCAAAATGATGTGGGGTTGCTGAGCATGTTGAAGTAGCGGATTTGTGGCATTCATTGTTGACTTCTTGTTTCTCAACAGGGGCAGTAGAGCAAGTTAGGGAAGTGAATAAAGGGGGGAACTATCAATGTTATATTATATCTGATTAAAGTATGAAACATAAACTAGCAGACACGAATGACAAAAATAATGAGAACCGAGTAGAATTGAAACAGTAATTTCGTGACAGGTTTTTAGAGATAATTTCATTTCTTTAAACTTTTACTTAGATTTTGAGCTATAGGCTACTTACATTGATCAATGATCTCATTTGGGAACATACTTTATGTAAATTATTATCAATGTTGTTTTCTAATATTCAAATAATCTGCCTCTATTTTCTCTTAAAGAACAGTGGAAATTAATTTTTAGTTAAATATTTATGCATATTTTAATGTTTTTTTCTACAGAATTAATTTTTTAAATGTTTGAAGCATCATGGAGGCCTTATTGTAATAGTTTCCTTCTGTTTACAATTCATTTATCACTTATTTGATTCGATTTTTTGAGTTATTCAGTGTATAGTGAGAAGTAGTACAATCACGCCAAGAAAAAATTATTTGTAATACTCCAACATTTGGCAGTTTGTACAGCTGTTCTTGATAAGGAACATTGGCCACTTCTCACTACTGCAGTTTTCACAGCAACTGTTGCTCCTTAAATCAATGACATCTACTATGAATATATCTAGGACTTTTATCTTCTCCATTTTGTCGCACTTTCTGTAACATAATTACCATAGCATCTTGTACTTTTAACCTAGTTGCTGCAGTTACAGCCTTATTTTTTAGTTCATTAGTTTTACTTCCATGAGTATTCATTTCTACATGTGTAAGTTATTTTGTATTTGTTGACTGTCTCGAATGTATTATGGAAAAAAATAGAACTGCAGAAGAGGCTGTCAATTATCTTTGGCCCTGGAAGGTCCAGATTTGTCAGATCTTAGTGATGAACCTTAAAATTTGGCAGCTCCCTCCTGAAGAAAATGATATGGAATTTATACATACAATTTATTGTTCCTAGTTCAAATTAGTTTCCATTAAATTTATTTGTGCTTAATTTTCCATTTCCAAAAATATAGATATTTCAAAACATTTACTTCTAATATGTCAATTTTTACTGCCAGACTTTCTCACCTGTTTCTAAACTACACAATAACTAATGACATTTATTTAATTAGACATATATGGCAAGATGGAGTGATCTTTTTCGTAACTACATTCAGATTCTGCTGATAACATAGAGTTTTGAATTGAATGAAGATATGTATTACGAATTACATTTTTTAAATAAATGTTGCACGCAAAAAAGTTACATGTAATAATCAGACTTTACAACAGTCACCTTAGATGTGACTCTGCGTTTGTCAGAATTTCCCTATCATACAAACATTTGAAGTTGTGCATTTCTACACTGACAGGTCCAAAAGATTTAATAGATGTTTTTTGATCTATGAGAAGTATTTCTTAACTTACACATGATCTGTTCATCTTGACAGGATTATACTTCAACTTGTATATACAAAACATTTTACTACATAGTTTTGTTTCTTCTGTTTCAAACGTGTCATTATAGAGACATAGGGAGACCTCTATCGTAATTATGAATGTCATTAATAGTGTTTCAAAATTTTTATGAGCTTCACTTTGCACATTATAGAGCCTAAACAGTAGTATATTTTCCAAACCAGTTCATTGCCATATACTTTCTCCTTCAGAGAACTCTTAGGTAGGTTGATGTTTCTTTTGACATCACAATCTTGGGCAGTGGATTAGTGTGTCTGTGTGTGTGTGTGAGGGGGTGCAGGTGTACTCTGTGTGAACTTGCTTGCAGAAAAGATACTGCAGGTGGTACAGACTGATGTTCCCACTTGTCACCATTCTGTCACCATTGTAATGTGACAGTTTTTTTGAGTCTATGTAAATTAAAAATCACATTTTATATATCTCCACTACTTGATTGTCAAAACACTGTCAGCTGCTATTGCATTCATTTGAGAAAATTGCTTAGATCTTTAGGAAACACATTGTTACAATTTGCACTTGCATGATGCATTCCTGCAAATCATGACACAAATGCCAGTTGTGACTTTTTGTGATGTTCTTCCCACTATTTTGTAAGTTGTTCAACATCTCTCTTTTCTCTAGGTTTGTATTCTCTAATTATTTTGAGCAGTTTGTACTTCTCCATTAAAAGATTGTTTCCATATATTCTTACAGTGCGCTCGTAATGTTAGAAGTTTCTTTTCTACATATTCACTCTCTCATGGGAAATGTGGTTCTAAGAAGCAGAAATTTGCAGCTTATTCTGTAGGTTGACTTATGTTAATGTGTTTGGAAAAATTTGAATGAGTTTATTTTTTAGACATGAAACTTATGCATGGTGATGAGCTTCGTCTTCGCTATTTGGGAGAAATACACAAGCCATGGTCTGGTGTGGGTCATGTAATTAAGATCCCTGACAATTTTGGTGAAGAAGTTGGAATTGAATTAAAAAACAACAGTGGAGCTCCTACTGAATGTGTGTCACATTTTGTGGTTGATTTCATCTGGAAATCAACATCTTTTGACCGGTAAGTTTAAGAACGCACAATGTTTATATTTTCTGTAAGAATTTTTTTTTTAATACATTGCATTTACTCAGGATGCAATTGGCCTTGCGAAAATTTGCTGTTGATGACTCATCTGTGTCTGGGTATATTTACCATCGACTCCTGGGACATGAAGTGGAAGAAGTTCTCTTCAGGTGTCACCTTCCGAAGCACTTCTCTGCTCCACACCTGCCTGATTTAAATAGATCGCAGGTAAGACATGACATTGGACTAATGAAGTGGAGTAATGTATTTTATTCATCAAGTACATCATCTTAAAATCATTTTTTAATTTTAACATTTTTATTGTTATTTGATTTATATAGGTATATGCTGTGAAACATGCTGTCCAGCGTCCATTGTCACTAATTCAAGGACCTCCAGGAACTGGCAAAACTGTCACCTCTGCCACTATTGTTTACCATCTTGTAAAACAGAGTGGAGGTTCTGTGCTTGTATGTGCCCCCTCGAACATTGCTGTGGACCAACTAACAGAAAAAATTCACCGAACAGGATTAAAGGTTGTTCGTTTGTGTGCAAAATCAAGAGAAGCTATCGATTCACCTGTATCATTCCTTGCTCTTCACAACCAAATCCGGAACATGGACAGGTAAGTGAAAATTAGTTCTGTTAATACAGTAGAATACCTCTTTTACACTTTTCTAAGGGAGAAATCATTTTTCACTTATAGTAAAATACTAAAAATTTACAAATTACTTTTATTATTAATATTAACAATTAGTAAGTATTTTTTGTACATTCGTTTTCCACTTTAAAATACAAGAATTCTGGTATTTTTTGAAAACGTCTAATGTTGATAACTGATTGGCCTTCTTCTGGTGAATTCTTTCAACTTGCTTTTCAAGTTCATATAAATTATAAAAACTGTTTAAGTCACCATGCTCGAGAAATATATATTTCTTTGTTGTATTTATTGGACAAATACTTCTGCACAAGTAGGCACACGACTATTACTCGGGCAACTTTTCTTGAACGATGGATTGACGATTTCGGGTGGAGTGGGGGTATTAGT